AGTCCCCTGGTTTCCAGAAGCAGTCTTCTTTTAAGAGGCGAAGCCAATGGGGTGGGATGCTCTTCTGAATTAGAATAAGGTTCTGTGAGAGAATGACAGCCTTTTAGAGTAGACCTGAGTTCTTGTTCCATTGCCCATTCTCCCCGTTCTTCTGCCCATAGGTGTTTTACCTGCCACACCCCTTTTTCGACCCGCAACAGCCATCGTGGATCCTTCATTCTTAGTGACCAGGGAGTACCCTCCAGGTCTTTGATCTCATCGTTACAAAACAGCGGTTGTCTCAGGCCCTCCTCTTTGTTATCTGCTGTGCCATGTTTGCTTGGTCTCATTCGTCGCCAGGCTTTCAGAGTCTGGATCCAGTACGGGTTGGGTGTTGGGGCTCCCTGGTTGTCTGAGTTTCGTATGGTTCTTCTGTGGGATCTGTCTGATCTTATCGCCCGCTCCTTTACCATAATCCAGAAGTAGCCGCTCATGTTTGGTGGGGAGCTTATCGGTGCTAGGTTGCCTATGCTGTCTAGAGCCATCTTGGTCCATGGTAGGTATTGTCTGGTCAGGATCTTGATGATCCATTTGATCTGGAGTGCTGTTGATTCCTGCTTAGGGTCCATCAGACCTAGGCCTCCCTCCTGCGGTTTCTTAATTATGTGACTCCATGCTACGCTGTTGATGTATGAGGTTCGGTTGGGATCCCCTGTCCATAGGTAGCACCTTGCTCTGGCCTTTATGGTTTGGAAGTCGACGTCCGGGGGAGACCAGATGGATGCAATGTACCATAATGTGGAAAAGATAGCCGTGTTTATTATTAGTGCCCTCCCAATCAGCGATGCCTGTGCGTTCTTGCACGGGGCCAGGTGGGTTATTGCTTTGGCAATTAAGCTGTGGCCCATTCCTGGCCACACACCATCTTTGTTGACCATGATACCTAGGTATCTGAGTGCCTGTTCGCCTGTGGACCACAACATGTGTGTGGTTGTGCGCTCGGGTTGTGGGGGCGTCTCGTCTGCTAGCCATTGGGACGGATGAGGACTGTGAGGTCGTCTGCGAGCATCAAAGCAGTGGGTAGGGCGAAGTCGTGCAGTGGGTTGAAGTTCCGTTTGGTGAGTCGGTGTATGGGCGGGTCTTTGCGGACGAAGGATGCTATGGCTTCCATGATGAAGAGGAAAATGGGTGGAGCTAGGGGGTCTCCTTGTCGCACGGACCTGGAGATGGGGTAGGTTTCCGATAGGATCCTATTGACCTGCACTCTACCGGTTCCGTCAGCGTACAACACTTTGACCCACTTCCCAAAATTTGGGCCGACTCCCATTTTTTCCATGCAAGCATGAAGGAAATCCCAGTTGACTTGGTCGTAGGCCTTTTCGAAGTCAAAGAACAGGATCGCTGCTTTCATCCTTTTTTCGGTAATCTTTTTGGCCGCCTCGTTTAGAGTCATCACATTGTCGAGTACATATCGGCCTGGGATGAAACCAGCTTGGTCAATGTGAAAGCATTTGTCTGTGAGATATATGATCATGTTGGCTAGTGTGCGAGGGAACAAGCCCTCAAGGGGCCCTATCAGACATCACATGTTCTGGGCTAAGGCCCCCAGCAAGCCGAGTGCCCGCCCTAAGTGAAGGCGGGCCTGAATATTCATCAGAGGCCAAAATTCGACATTTCCATATGTGGGTATTCAGGCTCTCGCAGCACGCCAGTTGGTTGGGTAGACGCGTGAGCCTCACTAAGCTGCATCATATAGTTGGCCCAGGCCTTGACAGTTGCGCCTGGGCACAAACACACAAAGCAGGGCCGATACGTTGGGAAGCAGGCCGCCGGCCTTTGGAAAAGCAGTACTGCCTACACACCTGCCTGGGAGCCCTGCACAGATGCAGCAAACAGCCCAAGTCCGAAGACTCAGGCCGTGCCCAACTGAAAAGGGCCCAGACCCTCAACCGGAAGCTACTGGAAGCTTCCAGTCAGGCCACACGCAGCGTCCAGGAGGCTGCCACTTCCATAAAAGAAGTGAGGCAGCCCAGGCCAGCATTCTGGCCAGTGCTGGCAATTCGGAAGTGGTGCTGTGCTTCTGCTTGATGCTGCGCTGCTGCCAAAGGCGCTGACGGGGCGCGTAGTGGTGAGGAGGGGCGCTGCAGGGCAGCGGGGCGCAGGCAGCCATAGCCCGGCTTCTGGGCGCCAGGGGGTACAGCGGGCGATCTGGTGGTCTTCAGGGAAGGAGGCACAGTGTGGGGTAATCAAGGTCTGATTGAGGGTGACGAGATACGTACCTGGTACATGAAGAGAGGTCGGCCATGGTGTTGACAGTCATGTACATTGGTCTTCGAGAGTTGAAGTGAGCCTGTTGCGTGAAAGGTAGGATAGTCGGGTAGAGTAGAATGGGCTCTGGGCGCCAGACAGAGAGGAGCGACTTTGGTTACTCTGTTGGCGTGGCCTACGGGCTTGAACATTGGCTCATTACTTCATTGTATTGCTCTATATGGATGGTTTCTCGGTGCATTTTGTACTCTACTTGGACACGACTACCTATACATCTGTGTGATTTCGCAACTTGGTTTTCTGTATATCGTTCACACTCATATTCCTTGCAAATTGGTATCGGAGCTGGTTCGTGATCGCCGCTTACCTGGTTCATTTCCCCCTCAGTGCATAGATGTGGAGTTCCACTGCACTCGATATGTGGGTAGATAGTGCGAGGTATGTAGGAAGCTAGTGCAAGGTGGAAAATTTTGAGAGAAGAAAAAAGCATAGTTTTTCTATGTTGGGCCATCGCGGGGCCCGACACGCCCGGCCAGGCACTCCGGGGCCAGTTGGGCAGAGGGGGACCAGAATCTGGTCTTAACTTCGGTTTTGGTGATGGGTCATCTAGGGGGGGGTTGGGGGGTATAAACAGTGACTGAAGGACTTAAAAGGGTACATTTGCACTCATGTTTTCTCATTTATTTTTATCTTGAAATTAACAAGGAATTTTGGGGTGGCCCTCAGCCAAAAGTCGTTTGTATTGCAATTTTACTCAACAATGCCAACATTTTTTTTTTTTTTTTGGGTTTTTTTTTTTTTTTTTGTTTTCTATTTTTTTAAATATTATGCGCTGGGATCGCCCGGGACCATGCCCGGGCCGCCCGGGAGGGTACCCGGGCAACCTTCCCCCAGCCGGGCCGCCTGAGGACTAACACACTAAGTTTTTTTTTTTCGTTTGTTTGTTTTCTTCTCCCCTTAAAGGAACGCGTCAACAGGAAACTGCTACCAAGTGGTGCGGAGTTGGAGTCTGCGGACCATGGCAACTACTGCATGTGGTTAGCGAAGATCCTAAAAGGGCCTTTTTATGTTGTGGACATCCCTCCACAACCTAAAGATTTATCCTGTGTTTCATGCCTCAAAGCTCATGCCCTATGTAGCATTTAAGCTTTTGCAGGCAGAAGGAAGATGCATCCTCCCACCATGGGTGGTTACGTAGACATTGACAGGATAATCACTCAGAGGGAAGCATAGCAACGGAGAGGAAGGCCCAGTGTCATCTACCGGGTTAAACGCCAGTAGTACATCTGCCAGTGTTGGGAAAATAGGACCACTAGTGCCTCCGCCAGTGTTGGGAAAATAGGGAAAAGTGGCAGTTTTCCCAAACTCCTTAACAATTCGGAGGCTGGGCCGATCATTGATAAATCTGATCGGCGGCCATCCTGTGGAAAAGAGATTTTTCACCTTGTATCTAGATGATTGAGTTTGCATCAATAAGAATCATTAATTATTTTCAAAAACAATATTTTGCGAACTAAAATATGAATTTAAATTTCTAAAGTTATTATGCTATCTTTAACTTAGTCCTAATTTTTCAGATTTTAACGAGTCACACATACACTCTAATACAGACTCCCCGTCTTTGAGGACAGTTTCTAAGAGCAGGAGACTTTGTTTTTTTTTCAATAGGCTTCCATTTTTTTCTAACCAATTGTTGAATTGTTGTCATAAGTGTCAAAAAGAGTTAGTTCAAGTACTACCCACAAGAAGAAGAGTAGTGGGTCAATGGGCCAGCAGCCTAGCTCAGTTGGTTTCACAAGCAAGTGGCATCCAAGAGAGGTCGTGGGTTCAATCCCTCTCAATGAAGCAACCAAAAGAATCACAGAGAAATGGATTCAAGGCTTGTCAAGCAGCCATTTTCCCATTCTGAAAAAGTCCGTGACCAAGAGAATCGGGGCTTCCTTGCCTTTGACTTTGTGGGGAAGTTGTCATCATAGGGCTGCACCTAGTCGTTTCATTTTTTTTTCTCATCAAACCACCATCACCCTCAACCCCCCACCCTCATCTCTCAGCCCTGGACATCCACACTACATTTGCAGCCTCATTCCTGTCCTTTTCCCTCCAATGCTCGCTCAATACCGTATTTATGTCCCTCAGCATTCAGTGCACAATGACTGCAATGCCGTCCCTCAGCCTCCAATGTGCAATCGTCAGAATACTTGCAACCACACGACGTGCTGCACGGTGTGGTGCATTGCATGGCATCTGCCAGCATACAGTACCGCCTTTTTTTTTTTTTTTTTTTTTTTTTTTTTTTTTTTTTTTTTTGTTGGCTACTGCACAACTGACGGAACAGACTCCTGTTTAAGTTCAGTCGCACTAATATTTCTTTTTGTCCCATTGGGAATGGGAAATGGCCTCAAACAGGTCTTTGGGAAAGGCGGCATTACTCTTTCGGACTTTGTAGCCAGTTTTTTCATCCCAGATTCCCATAACAGTTTTTCAAAAGGGGACACAGGTGACCACCGATGAAGGCCTGCGACCCCTTTTCCTTTCTCTCTCGGGGACAATTTTCCCCGCGCACTGCCTGCACAATGTGCATACCCAACCTGCACCCCTCCACCACGAACTGCAGGCGCAGTGTTATACACACAACCGTCGGCAATTGACTGTCAATGATGATGAAACTGTTGCTAGTAACTTGCAACCCTACAGCCAACTGCAAAATCAAAACCCCAAACTGTGAAGGTCAAACAAAAAAGAATCGGTCGTACCTTGGAGCTGACATGCGTAACGCCATATATGTGGCCATGGAAAACTCGCACGGGACTGTTGCTGTTGCTACTCAGAGTCCTTCTATCCCAAACCTGAGCCATGTAAAAAAGCAAACAGTCAAAACATGAAATAACTACAGATGCTCCCCAGAATGGAAATGAAGCCAGGACCGTAAGGACCTATTAAAAAAGAAAAAGAAAAAGAAAAAAAAGAAAAAAGAAAAAAAAAAAGAAAAAGAAATAACTGCAGACATCAGTACAGGTTGTGGTAGCATCAGGCAACCTGAAAAATGCTTACCAAATCAGGTTGTTACTACTTGTTAGCCTATTGCCAAATCCAGGCCAGCGCAAAACAGCCTTCATGGCGTTCATGGCCTTCTTTTTCCCATCAGGAACATTGCAAGCGAATGGCAGCAGAGCATCTGAATGCGTATACATTTTAAATTCCAACCAACCAGAGATCCCTGAGCGTAGCCAACAGCACAAGAGACTGAAATCACCAGTAACAACAAAACATACGAACTGTTGGCCTGACCCACTCCTGCAAAACTGTTGACATGCTTTTTTTTTCTTTTTCTGTTGAAAAGCTTGACAGAGATGATTGAAGCTTTAAGCCACCAGTGACGATTTAAACCACCAGTGGTAGAGTGGGAGCCTTTCTGAAGCAGCACACAGCTGGGTCTCTGTGTTACGAACTCCACCAGGGCTCGATCCCTGGTCTGCGGGTTATCACCTGCCAGATTGCTGTTTTTGTTTTCTTTTTTTTTTTGTTTTGCAATTCTTTTTGTGTTTGTTCTTGCTTTTCTGATTTCGGACGGTTGGCGCCATCTGCATTCTGGCGCCCGTTTTCAAATTCCTTCTTTTGGGACTTTCGGATTTCGGACACTTGGCGCCATCCGACATTCTGGTGTCCACTCTCAGACTTTTGATTTTCAGTACTGGCCCTGAGGCATTTTCACTTTCGTCCTCAGGATCGTACTTGAGTCCGGTACTTATGTACGGACTCAAGCCCAGTATGGGCACCAAGTGAGTCTGCGTCGAGTTGAGTGAGCGTGTGTGTGCGCTCTCACCCTCCCTCTCTCTCCCAGCCTCCCTGCTCTGCCTCTGCCTCGTCACACTCTGGGTCTCCGGAGTGAAATTTTCAACAGTTTCCAGGGGGGCTCAGGGTTTCCAGGGTGAATTTTTTGACGGAGGCAGTGTGAAGTTTTGCACCCAAGGAGTTTCTTACGGGGTTCTGCACAGTATTGCACAGTAGGCCCAGTAGGGTCAAAAAATTCACACAGCCTCTAAACACATAACTGTAATGACGCGCCAAAACACAGACTGAGAAAACCGCTGATTTCTCGGTTTTGCCGCTGGAATGTATGCCTTGATGAGATTCCCGCGTTGTGCCGAGTTTGCTAAGTCTGTGTGTGCATGCGTGCTTGCTGGTCCGTGTGCCTGCCTGAGTGTGCGTATGCCTGAGTGTGTGTGTGGCTCGACAGGGAACTTGTGTATGGTGAGGCCCGCAGGGCCGGTACTTACCTGTGGCCGTGACTTTGTTGCAGCGGGAAAAACACTCAAGTAGCGGGGAGTAGGCCTGCGACACTCAGGGCAGCGGGAGAAAAACACTCAAGTAGCAGGTAGGCCGGTACCACTCAAGTAGCGGTAGATGTGTCCGGAACAGGAGGCCGAGCAGAAGAAGACAAAAGTTGGCATTTTAGAGGCCCAGTAGTGGTAGGCTAGAGGTAGGCGGGTACCAGTTCAAGTAGCCTAAGTCTAGGGCCTGTGCGGACCATATCAGAGCCTGCAATGATGTTCCCTCCGAAAGGGAGGAGGTACCGGTTGCTTGGAGGCCGTGCGGCCTGAAAGTCACCGCCCAAGAGGCAAGTAGGCTGCTATATCTCCAGAAGGAGCGAGTAGCTCCTCCTCATTTGCGGTATGCAAGTTTGGACGTCGTGCTGCTTGAGCGAGTGCTGGCTCTCAGAGCGCTGCCTGGGAGGAAGGAGGAGAGCTGGGCGCTCTGCCTGGCTATGGCGAGCAGCCCAGCCTGAGGAGGAGGAAGAAGAAGGCGAATGAGGAGGGTGGCGAGGTACTTACCTGGCTATGATGGACACCATTTTCTTCACCGTGTTAGGCACTGCATCTGGAAGGCCCCAGTTGGGGTAGTGTCGCACCAAGGAAGCTTCGAGGCAGAGTCAGGCATGGCGGCCTGAAGAGCAGCGGCCATAGGTGCGTTGTGTTGTCTTTTGCACAGGATGGCAGCGCCCTTAGTAGTCCGCCATAGCCTAGGCATGTGTGAGGAAGAAGAAGAGGGAGTCCATGGCTATGGTGGACCTCTTGTTAAGCTGGCAGTAAGATGGAACTTCGGATATTCATTCTGGTTTAACCACTCACTGTTATTATTATTATTTTGGAGAAGAATAAGTTTGGTGGGGACAAGGAGGAGGAGGAGAGTGGAGAGAGGAGGGAAATTTGTCATTGGTCTTGCTGATGTACATCTTCTTTTTCTTCTTCTTCTTTCTTTCTTTCTTTCTTTCTTCTTCTTTCTTCTTCTTTGGTCTCTATCTCTTTGCAAGTGCTTTAATGTCTTTCGCAATTGGGTGGCTTTGTCTTTCCTTGTGAATTTGCACTTCAGAAATAGCCAGGATCGTAACATTTGGTATCGGAGTGGACTTGCTGGCGAGAGGTGTTAGTCACCCTAACCCTAATTCGGAGTTAGTTAGGGCTAACTAACCTCGGATTAGGGTTGGCGGTTAGGTTAAGAGGGGCAGCGTGGTATTGACGGTGCTGCGCCCACTGGTTAGGTCACGTTGGGTCGACATTGGACCTGACCAGGTCGATTGAGTGAATGCTTGGGGTGGCGAGACACAAAGGAGGCTCATTGGAGTAAGCGAGAGGGAGTAGAGAGTGAGAGATACTCGCACCTGGAATCTGGAACTGAAGAAGACATTGAGTGACTTTTGGGCTTCCCCTCAAGAGGGAGACTTGACCGGAAGCTGCCATACCTGCATCAAGAGCTGCAAGTTGCTACTTCGGCCTTCAACATCCGCGTGGGATCCGGCGTTGTATATTGGTATAGGTAGGCCCTCTTAGTCGTATTAGGACACTTAGTGTAGTGGTAGCTGGGGGTCAGGAGGACCTATGAGAGAGGGGGGTGAGTCGTTATCTCATCTTTGGAGGCTGGGCCTCACAGGTAAGTGCAGTGTGACTTGGGTATGCCCACAGGTAGTTGCATGGCGCTTCATGGCCTGATGGGGATTGTGCTGGGCTCTTTTCCTCCTCTGCGGTCTTGGTTGTGTGTGTGAGCGTGTGGATTGCTTTCTCACCTGATGGATGGATGATGATGTACCTTGTTCTTAACGGCATATCCTTCTATAGTGCATTGTCTGTTCATTTCTAAACGGTTGTAGTTAGTAGGTTCTTGCTGAAGTTGTCTTTTCCTTTTCAATATGGTAGAGGCAGTTTGGGACCAACTTGGGACACCCTTCCGGTTGGTCCTGGTCCACAACCTACTTGGGACCCTTCGGGACTTAGTGGGGAACCAGGCCCAATGGGACAGGACCCTTTGGCCATTGCATTTCTTAGCGACCCTGGAACTGGGGGACACACAGCTAGTAGGGACATTCCCTTTCGAGCGGATCTTGACTGAGCCGCGTCTGGCCGTCTGCACCCCTTGAAATCTCCATCGCTTCAGTTAGTTCTTCCTCTGACTTATTTGTGATGCATGTTCCATGTTGGCTTAGTCAAGAGGGGATCTCAAGTCTGATCTGACCTGACCGGACCCATTCGTTAAGTCAGACCTCTCTCTGAATTATTATTATTTTTTTCTATCCTGCTGCGTGGATGCCATCCTTTAGTCCAAATGAATTGCCGCTCCGGCTAGGAGTTCTACCTTCTCTCTTGTGATTTTTTTTTTTTCTCTATCTGAACTATCTATGTCCAACATTGAGACGCGTGCGCAGAAAGCGGAAAGAGAGAGAAGGGAGAAAGAAGGCACTCTTTTTGAGAGTGTGAGTAGTAAGAGGAGCGTTCGTCCAAACTGAGAGAAGAGCGGACCCCTCTTGAGAAATCTACTAACACCCCATCCTCCAGCATGGCAGACATCTCATCTGCACAATGACAGGCTATGCTGGACACAGCGGATGAGAAAGAGAAACCGTTCTTTCAAAAACTTTATGAGGATGCATTGCAGACAGAGAGGGAGGCAGAGGCAGCAGCTAAAGCAACGAGTATTGCTGCCCATGTGGCCCTTCTGGCTGTCCCAACTAGTGATATCCGGTTCAGGGAGAAGTTAGCCGCTGCTGTAGCAGCCTTGGTCCAACTGCGGACTTTAGAAGATTTGAGTCGCATGTGACAGCTCTGGAGCAGGGCAACCAAGAGCTGCAGGCTGAGATTGCAGGCCTCAAGCAGGCCCAACTAACCATCCCCCGACCTCCTATTCCTCGTCATGCTGTTGTCCCATTCCTTCTCCCTAACTCAGTCCTCGTGTAGAAACCAAGTGGAACTGTGATGAGCACAGGAACTGGTGCCAGCTCTTCAAGCGGGAGCGCCGGTAGTTCTGCACTTATCCCAGTCCCAAATGCAGGTTCACCAGCCCAAAACGCCGCAGTTCCTATTGGCGTGCAGTACAGCAATCCCATAGTGGACAAGAGGACGGCCACGTTGCCGTCTAAGTACGACGGGAAGGGGGATATTACCTCCTGGATCAGCTCCATGCGCTCATACTTCAAGGTACTTCGAACACCACAGGAAGACCGAATTATGAACATGGGCACAAATACCGAGCCCACTGTACGGAGTTTCATTGAATTCCAAGCTATCAGTGCAGGTTACGAAAGGATTGACCCGATTGAGTGGTTGAAGGTAACTCCTGTATGTACTCTTGAGGACCTTCTCATCACGCAGTATAAATATAAGCACGTTGCGCACAAACAACGCTGAAACTTGAGGCCCTCAAGGGCCAAAAGTGGAGGACTTCCATGTAGGCTCTAGAGCAGCATTTGACTAGTTTGTTCACTACTCCAAACCTGGGATGGACTGATGTGTCTTGCATGGATGTAGTTATGGGAGTGGTTCCTGAAGAATATATCTCCCTGAAGGAGCATTCGACTTAGCATGAGCTCTTAACAGATCTAGTCAACCTAGAGGCCAAAGACCGCGATCGGGAAGCTGCACATGAGTCTTTTTGACGCAAGCGGTCGGGAAGCAGCAACCAGCGTACCGTGCATGAACATCTGAGGCTAAGGACTAGTCCTACATGGATGATCTGCCTCTAGATGACAATCTAGAGCCGGACGCCGACGCGGGTTGTTCTACATCAGCCCTTGAGTCTGATATGAATGACAAAGAGAAATGTAATGCCTTCCGGAAGACTGCTTCAAGCAAGGGGCCTAACAGCAGTTCAGGTAAGGGAACCATAACCCACCTTCCCAAGAATGCAAAGATTCTTGAGAAACCGAAGAATGCTTCTACCAAACCTTGGGAAGCCCTTCACATCAGTCAAAAATAATGGGAAAGAAGATCCAAACTTCACGTGTGCTTGCATTGCCAAAAGCCCGGGCACGCTGTGCAAACCGTTTGCAGGGAAACAAGCAAAGGGCGTAGCAGAGTTATCACCACTCTCTACACCAAGAGAAGCTGAACGGTCAGCTGCACGCCTCTCCAAGGAGCCTGAATCTGATCAACAGCCTGCTTTTGAAGCCCAAACTGATGCTGAATCCAAGGCTGCTGCAGTCCAGGTACTTTATACCGAGCCTTGGGAGAAGTCTAAGGAAGTCGACTTTCACTCTCACCTGGAACATTGGATGCAGCTTAAGCAGCAGCGCCATGTTCAAAGGGGTGTGGAGCTGATCTTCTTTACGTTGCTCATTAAGCGCCGATACATCCATGTTTTGATTGATAATGGCGTGCAGCCTTTTCTGTTTGCTCAGCATGGAGTCACTCTCTTTTTTGCACGGTCTGTGGCCCTTCTTTTCACATTGTGGAGCAGTGTTGCACACCCCGACGGTCGATGGCCCTTGACTGGTCGGCTGGGGTCCAGAACCTCGACTAACACCACCAACACCCCCATAGCGGGCCCCCAATMCCCCCATATAMCCCCCCAACMCCCCCAAACCGCCCCTAACACCCTCATTACCCCCCCCCAATACCCCCTATACCACCCCTATACCCCCCTSCCCCCCCTATACTCCAACCCCAACCCCCCCCATACCCCCCCCTGTCCCCAAAAGTTTCTCAGCGGATTTGGGCTGTACTCAGCAAGTGCAGTACAGGCCCCCAACTCATATTTGAAAAAAACTCAGTGGATGGTTGGTTTCAGACTGCTTGGCAGACTGTCGACCGGTCAGCCCTACTGGTCGGCTGCAATACGGTCGGCAGTCGGGGTCGGCGGTCGGCGGGCATGCAACCCTGTCGTGGAGCGTTTTTTTCCACAATGTGGCAGGACACGTTTGCGCAGCGCAGGGGTCCAGAATCCTGGGCCATCACATGATGGGAGCACCTCGACTGACTCCTGGGGCCATCACAGGGTCTCATGGGCCATACAACCGAAATGTGTGGCTGCATTCTCAGCTTTTAAGGAGCCAGCCCAAGGTCCCTACTCGCCCAGTCTGTTCAGTACAAGTACCCCGGCCAGGTCCCTCCCATCTGTGGCTTGGCCAATTCGGCCTAATCTTTGGCATAAAAAGTCATATGGCCTCAGCGCTAATTGCCCTTCTGCAAAACTCCCCTTGGGCCGCATAGAAATGATCCTAAGCGAAAGGAGAAGGGAAAATATATGTTATACCCCAGAACGTCAACTGCATTTCGGCCATGCCCCCCAAAGAGCACCCTTCCGCTTGTGTCCTTGGCCCGGTCGAATTACCACTATACCCTGGTTTTGTGGCTGTTAATTTTCAGCTGTACCCAGTTCCATGGGACACCGGCTGGGCCTGCCCACCACAAAATTTCTCACACCTCTTGCTCTTGTTCCCAAGCTGTGCGTGATGCGTGTGCTTGTGTGTGTGTGTGTGTGTTTAATTCAAAGATTACTAAGTACAAAGGCACATTTTGGTAATCATACACCTACTTCAGACTTTCGGCCATATCTGTACGGATTACGAAATGAAATCGCTTCTATTGATTTAGAAAGAACACTTCTTTATTTACAAAGAGCTTGTAATCATTGACTATATAATTCGTTCAAATGGTCATATATTATTTGTAAATACTAATCCACAAACCCAGATTCTCTCTCTCAATCCCTCTATGAATCATCATAAACCATCCATAAAACAAAAAAAGTAGAGGTAGGTGTGTGTATGTGTGTGTGTGTGTGTGTGGGTGAGAGAGAGAGAGAGAGAGAGAGAGAGAGAGAGAGAGAGAGAGAGAGAGAGAGAGAGAGAG